TTCGATGTTCGTTTCCTTGCCCAAGCAACGGTCACGCGCAGGGAAGTGTTGCGGGCTCGACAGGAGATCTTGGGAACATGCTTCGCAGTCGGCTGCACAGTGGACGGCCAGAAGCCCATCGCCCTCCAGGAGGCAATGTTGTGATTGCCAAACACCTCGAAAGCATTGCAGTGAGAAACTCTGTCCCCGCCAGTATTCTTGAGGCCATCGATAACGAGGAGTGGGAGCTTCCAACTGAGTGAGCAGCAAGGTGGTGTAGGTGTGTATCCCAGGCCCGTAGCAGTCCCTATGGTGAGGGGCTTTCTTAGGGCGTAAGGGCTTCACCCCTTCGGCTCCAGCAACAGCCATCAAACACTCCCCCAAGCCCTTTAGTGCTGCAGGGAGCCAAATGGCGCGAGGCCAAAAGAGCGTCCCTTGCCGCACAGCTTGCAACACACACTAGACGAAAACGCTTGAACAACGTCATGGCCGCAGCTGGTTGCGGCCGTGGAATCGGAGCTGCAAGCGGAATGCGGCGTGACTGTCTAGGCAGGTGCCAATGTCGTGGACACAGCTATTAAGCCACAGTCCGGGCAGTAAACATGCCCCATTGAATCTCGTTTATTGGAACCCAGTGACACATGGAAACATGTGCACACATGCAGCAAGCCACAAGCAGCACAAGTGTCGAGGGTATTCGGTTTTCCAAAGGTTTTCGAAGTGATCATGCAGATGGCAGTACATGTCTTATTCCTCCACTCCGCAACGGCTGCCAGGTCAGGCCCTACCCACAATTAGCCGGTGCGGTGCAACTAAAGTAACTAGAGCTTGGACTGGTGTATCTCGAAATCCTCGCAGAGCGATGGCTCCCGCGCTCCGCCCTGGCCGGCACACAGGCCAGGCGCGTGAGATGCGAATCTCGGCAGCGCGTGGCCGGAAATGGCCATCTCGGACAAGGAGGCCTCCAGGGCCGTTGTAAACTATTCTTTCTATCTTGCTGGGCAGAAGCAGAAAGTTGGCAAAAGATGACATGTTGTAAAGTAAAGGCGCTCACCGCGCTGCTTCGTGATCGCTCTGCAACGCCAAAGAGCCAGGCGGAAGCAGCGACTTGGCCACAGGTCTGATGTCTAGCCAGCCAGGAGGAGGCGCCTCGGGCCAGCCAGGGTTTTGACAGATGCCGCCCAGAAAGCTTACGGCAAATGTGCAACAGCCATGTAAAGTAAGCTGGAAGCGAACACGATTCTTGCCTTTTCCGACATGCTTGCCAGAGATGAGGTGTCCGCATTGTCTCGAAATGGCTGGATCCAGACCCCTCGACAGCACTCCATGCGGCAGTTAGTTTGGTTTGCTGGCAATTTTTCGTTATGATTCGTCAGGCTGCTGTGGCCTGCCTAGGGCTCGAAACCGACAGGCATGTTGAGGGATATGGAGGACATGCAGGTTCAGCAACAGATGAGGTTACGTGACAGATGCATCGTATACGGAGCATACAAAACGACCATCCTGCAGGTATGCGGTAGCCATCGCTGCCCTGGCCAGAGCAGGCAAATGGCAAGCTTCGCTGGATCTGCTTTTTCTGATGCTGGAAAGTGCACTGGACGCAGACACCCGACGGTAATTTCGAGCATCCACCTTCGTACCGTAAGAACTGGGAGTAGTCGATGCCTGCCCTGGCCAGTCGTCATTGGATAGCTGAATCCACAGCCCACCGCCATTCTGTTCGAGCTAAGGAAGTCAAAGCTTTCGGTGCTGCCATCAATGCCTGCTCCAAGGCCAGCAGGTGGCGCCACGCAAGCCTTTTGCTGGAAGTTGCACAAACCGCGCAAGCGGACATGGGGACAATCGTTGTGAACACGGTCATGGGCGCGTGCTCTCGGAGCCAGCAGTGGAGACAAACTTTGCATCTCCTCAGCACATCCAAGACACCAGACCTTACAACCTGCAATACAGCCATCGCTGCGTGCGCAAGGGCCGAGGGCTGGCAACATGCTCTGACATTGCTACAGGAAATCCCTCAGCGACAGCTGACTCGTGACACCTTCAGCTTCAACTCTGTTATGAGTGCGCTGACGGGGAAGCGTTGGGCGATAGGAGTTGCTCTTCTGGAGTCCATGGTCTTGGAACAGGTTCCGCCGGATCCTGTAACTTACAACTCCTTGATGGATGCCGCCCCCCACAACGCACAGGAGCTCTTCAGGCATATGCTCTGTCGGCGAGCAGCCTGCCGCATTTTCGATCTCTGAGAGGGCTATGGGCCATGGGCGTCTTGTGATACTGCCTGTTTGGTTTCTCAAGTTCAGCTGGTGAGACGGTGAGGTGACTCCGACTGTCATCAGCTTCAACACTGTCATAGCTTCCTGCTCGAAATCCGCAAAAAGCCAAGACGAGGCGTTGCATTTCTTGAAGGCCTGACCAAGAATAGCTGTCTGCGACATGCGCACTTCGCATTGTTAGCTTCGATGTCTCCACGTTTATGCAAATCTGAGCGTCTCGGTGAACGCAGTGGATCACTTGATTCGTGGGAGGATATGCGAAAGCACCGCCTGGCGCCGAACCTGATCACGTTCAACAGCTGCATTGCTGCGTGCAGCGACTGGCAGCAGGCGCTGGCAATGCTTGCGGCACTTGAGAACGAGCTCCTCGGTTTTGTTTGTGCTTATTCTCTCAACGGGCCGCCCGGCTTGGCTCCCTCGTGGCGCTAAGGCGGCTGACGGCTGACCTGATCACCTTCAACAGCCTGCTGTCTGCTTGTCGGGATCTGCGAGTGGTGCACATGATCCTGGCAGAGATGCGCTGGCGCAGGCATGTGTTTTTGCGGGCTACGCAGGTGAGTTGGAGCTTCTTTACTCGGACATCTCAAACTTGGGTTCCTTTGGCTCGCAGCGGGATCCTTGCGTGGCCCCTCGCAGCCATGGCGCCCAAGTTTGACCCCAACGAGGTGAAGGCAGCCGCCATGCCCACTCGTGCTATGGCATGGAAGTTGTCAGTCGTTGCCAGTGCCATGCGTCAGGTGGTGTTCCTCCGCCAGCATCGCGGATGCAAGGAGTTTGCAGTTCCTGCCATCAGTGCCTC